AGGGTAGTTTAGAGCCCATACTCATACAAGGGACCTGGGCAATGCACTGGAAAGGAGGAATATTCTCAGTCTACCCAGCCTACAGACCTTACCTTTTTGTTATAATGAGATCAAGCCAATGTGAACAGTTACGTTGGCCATAGACCACTATGAAAAAGGCTGACAATGCAGGGACATAATTGTCCACCATGTGAACCCTTACATTTTCTTACCACTTCTTTGTTGCTCATCTTCAAAACTTTATTATTAGTACTAGGTAACAATTTATGATAGGTTGTTGAAAATATTTACTTATGCCTCCCTTAATCTAGACTTGCACATTTGTCTTCATGCTTACATGATTGGGAATTCAAATTTTGGGATATTTCTTCTTAGCAGCCAGTATTGTATCTAAGTCCTGTTTAATCTCCTCCATATGCTGAAGAGCAAAAGGCCAGAGCTGTGCTGCCCAGTGGCATAGGAAAGATCCTGTCCTGCTTGGAAGTGATTAGAGTCCTTCTGTTTTCAGCTTTGGAAGTGAAGTGTTGCCAGGTTACTTGACTGGTCAATAAAGAATGCTCATTAATCTGTTTTCTGCTTCTTGATGACAATTGTTTGATAGCCTGATCAATTTATGACTACCATTTGTGTGGTGACCTCCTGCTGCTTTACTCTCTTTTTGTTTTAAGAATGAGGAGAGCAAAAATATGAGAGCCTGTGTTTTCCTGAGCTTTGGGGATGAGGTTTAAACACTGGATTTTTTTTTATAATTTGCATCGGTATTCAAGATCAAAATCTCTTGCAATGTTTTCTGTGACAACACTGAAAGTATAAACATAGAAATCAGAAACAGATAATTCCCTGGAGACTGAAGGACTAATATGTGAATAATCACACCTCCTACTTCATAACAATATCATAGGGGAAAAAAAAAAGGTGTATTATGCATATCTGCAGCTCTGCTGCAGTGTCTAGACCAGTGTCTAGTCTGGTGTGTGAAGCGTGTGTGTGTAAATATTGGAAGGGTAGATATCAAGCTCCCAGTGTGGGAGTGAGACTACACAAATAAGGCACTATAACTTTGTGCTAGCACTTGCTAAGGTTTTGTATCTGCCCTGTAGCCAGGAGCCAAACCACACTGGTTCTGGGACTGCAGCTTGTGCAGTTAATGAAAGGCGTAAGTCTCACCAGAGTTAGCTATCTGTAGATGCTGGAAGACTGAACAACCACTGAGATCTGAAGTCATGCCTGAAGAGCAAATCACTTCTTTAGAGCATTTGTCATCAGCTTATCTCAAAGTGTTTCTTAAATGAGGCCGATTTCCTAATTTCCCATTCAACAGTTGAGTATGCACTCATGGAGACATGGGGAACAGGCTGACCAGGGTGGAGCCAGGACCTGAAGTCGTTCATCCTGAGATGCAGGAGGAAAATTGTCCTGCCCTCCCCATTCTGGAGCTATGGGAATGGTCCAGTAAATACGCTGGAGTAGTTGTCGTGTGTACCTATGTGCTGGCTCTCTTCAGGCCCTTTGCTGCACAGTTCTCCAAAATGATACCAATACATCAAAGCCTGAATGGTTTTCTGATACTTTTTCTAGGAGTGCTTTAGAACAGATTAGAATAGAATTGAATCAAATGTCACCTTGAAGGAGACAGCTTCCTCTTGTGGCTCTCTGTGGTGGCCAGGATCCCTGACTGCCTTGAAGTATAGGCATGAGTAGTGTTTAACACCTGTGCTCTTCTGAAGGTATTTTTCCTCATGATCCAACCCACAGGGGGACATGCTCTAATCTCATTTTTGTACATGGAAGCATGGGACTGAGGAACTGTGGAACAAGACAGGAGAATGTATCTCATGCAAAGTTTATGTTCTAGTTTGTGCAGGGAGTTAGTTTGTCCTAACCAAACCATCACTCCACAACCTGCTTGGTTCTGCCTCCAAGACTTGATTCATGGCCTTGGCCCCTCTAGTCTGGGATTTAGTGATGTAATACCCAAAAGTTTTGATTGATAGAAAGCCAGAAAGTGATTAGAAGATCTTGCAAAGTGTTAACAAATCACTCACAGATGAATGTTGATTTATCTGCAATAAAAATCACCCTAAATTAAATGGTCTGATTCATCCAGCTTACTTGTAGCAGGAGGGACTGATTTAGTGATGCTGAGCCCAGCCATTAATGTAACATGTTCTTTAATCACAGTGGGCATGTTAAACTGGGATTTATAAACCCAGTAGAGTTTCTGACTTCACCCTGTAGCATTGATGTTGGGCACCTTGAAAGTTCTCTCAGCTGTGAGAAGTATTGCCAGGCAGAGGACACTATTGACACAACCTTACCAGGGATTTCCTCTCTTGGAGCCTGGGGATGCTCTACACTTTTGAGTTTGGAGATCAGATCAATAACCTTTTGCTTTCCCTTTCTCACTCCCAAGTCAGCAGAAAGAAGAGACATGGGAGACTCCTTTCTGATGAGCACATGGGGGAGAAGGGAGGGTGGGGCTTTATGCATCTGTCTGTGGTAATTGCTGGCTCATTCATTGCCTGCTGCTTTATGTTTAGTGGAGTCCCAGGAGATCAGTGTGGGGCAGAGGGGGACAGGATTTAAAGTGAGAAGGAATTGCTACCATCCTTCAACCTGACTTCCTGAATTATTCAAGATGTGGTGTTTTGCCTTGTAATTCTCACCCTGACAGTAATAGGTTTGTAACTGAACCTGCCAACTGTGCAGAGAACCAAGCATCCTCCGCTAGCCTCATGCCAAAAATTAACTTTTAGGTCTGTGCTGCAAAGAGTAGGTTTTGTGAGGTATGAAATACAGCTGTATTTCCCTACAAAGCTGTGAGCTTTCCATCTTTATAAATTTTAATTTTATGGATAAATTTTAATTTTATGGTAGTACTGGGCTATTAGGGAGCCCTAACTGGCCAGCTCTGTGATAAAGATGTGAAATTCATGTTTTTTCACCAGGACACCCAAGGTACAGGAGTCTCTTGTATGTAGCAGTTGCTTTTAAATGAAATTAGTTATTTCATAATTGCAGGTAGGCATTGCTATGCTTTTAAAATGGAAGATGGCTTTGGCTGCTTGAATGAAAGAGAATTTTAATTAGATTAGGAATTAAAGCAAACTATCTACCCCCTACCACACTCTTCTGCAATGCTAGGTAATGCCAGATGAGGTTTGATTATAATTATAGTGTCATGAGTGTTAAAGCTTTCTAATGCACATAATGATGCTTTAAAAATTACCTCTTGCACATGGAGATTGTCTAGATTCATCAATCATAAACAGAGCTTCAGGGGGGCTGAGAAATTCTCTGAATTGAAAGTTCCCCTGAGAGGCAACACTGGACAGGTTGGCTGAGTTTCTGTGACTTACCAATCCAGTTTCTCCCTTGCCTGTGGTTTGATCCTGGGTGTGTGATTCTCAGCAGGAGGGGTGGCTGTACAGCCCCTCACTGGGAGTGAACGTAGATGAACTTTCCATTACCCCCAATAGGAGTATTCTTCCCAAAAGTATCATGAACTATCTGCCTGTTTCTTGGACTTGGTGCTTGCTCCTGCACCAGCCAGGCACAGCAGCCCTGCCATGGAAGAGGTTTGCTAGGCTCTGAAGCAGCAGGTTTTGATAGACTGAGGACCCTTCCCAGGTCACAGGGTTAATGATCAGGCTCTCTGCTGCAGTGTGACCACCTGAACAGCTTCCAAATTGCAGAGGGCTAGTGCAAACGCAGACAGAAATTTTGGTGATTAAAAGCTGTAGAGGTAAAAAATTGTGATTGTAAGACTTCTGTGAACAATAAACTGTATCTGTCAATGCAATTTCTAGCATTTACTAGGAACATCCAATGCCACAGAGAAATATTAATTCTCCTTTTTTTCCCCCTCCAGTTATCATCATCATTGCAAGTAGCACTGTTTACAGTTCTGCTTTTGTCTTTAGAACTAACAGCTCTCTTGTTTAACAACAGTAGGGAAATCTGGGACAGTCCCACTTCTGCTTAGTGACACTCAAAGCACTAAAGGTTGCAATGAAATCCCAGCTCTCCTGAAATCAATAGCAACATTTTTGCTGACATCAGAAGAGGCAATGTGCATCAGTGCATGCTTTCAGGTTTTTCCTGGAAAAGCCAAAGTAAGGCTAATTTGATCTCAACTGATTTAATTTGAACTGAATAATTACTATGCAGTGGTTCTGAGATCCCCGAGCAGATAAGATCATCTTGTAAAGAAAGGGCTATATAAGGCAGTATCAGACTGCTCAGTTACCAGTTATGATCCTGGTCACAAGTCAGGAGATGCTTAATGTGTGTTTAACTTCTGAGCTCACTAATAGTTCCTGTGACTTAGGGAGAGGTTTTACATGCCTAACCTTCAGAAAGTGCTGAAATTCCCAAACCATGACTAAATTAAGATCTAATATACAGACAGCCTTTCTTGAATTTTAGGTTTCTCTGCCTGGAAGCCTGACCTTCTACAAGCCTGAGAAGGAATGATAAATTGTCTTTGTAGATAGTCCCAGCCAGTTCAGTTAATCCAGCAATGATGATGGCTTCAAAATTCAAAATACAGAAGACCCTTAAACTGCATGGACTGTGCTTCCCTACTTCTGTGAATTTAAAGAGGGAGAAAGCTGTTAAAAGGAGCACTATACACTATACTGTATATATTATATACTACATATATATATATATATATATATACATATATACATATATATATATATACTATACTTTACAGGAGACTGTAAAATGTAACTGCAGCATAATAAAACTTTATCACTTATTAATATATCTAGCAAAACCAGAGCAGAATGGAGGATCTGGTAGAGCCTTCCAAAAATGCCTGGGGCACACTGGGGTGTGTGACACTGCATTGTACCTTGACAGCTCTCAGGAGTCACTTGCTCATATGTGGGGAGGCAGAGGCAAAACAGTGTGTGAAGAGAAGATGGATGCTCTCTTACAGAGAGCTTTCTAAATTTTTTTCTTTGATTTTTTCTTGGTTTTTATTTTCTTAGATCAGCATTGAGATCAAAGGCATTCCAGTGGGACTGCCAAACAACATATTATCTGTGGAAAAGAAAAAAGAGAAATCCAGTAAGTTATTTTGCACAACTTTCTACTATACTAGCCATGTTAATTGAGTTTCCTCCTGTGATTTAACTAAAATGGACGTTGATCTTATTTTTTGACAGGCTTTTGGCTTCTGCCCTGTGAAAACTGCCTCCTTCAAGTGAGAGTTCAGTCTTTAGAACTCTTCACCAAGCAGCATCTTCTAAGCAGTCAAGCTGTTTACCATTATTTTTGCTATGTCAGTCCCAAAAGACTTATTTGCTAATTCTCTGATCATGTTATTGTGCCTCTGAAAAACTCAGCAAATATGGAGGTAACCACCATACTTGTTTTCCTTTGATACTTCCTTGAAACCTCTCTCAGCTGGGAAGCAGATGCATTGCACTTACCTGGCATCGGGCAGACAGAACTGAGGCTTAGTTTCTGTGCTCTCCATTGCTTCAGCTCTCTGTCCTTTCACCTCCTTTACGGGTATGCTGCTAGTAACAGGGGTTGCAAGTGGTGAAGGACAGGGGCAGGTATCCTTCCTGCTTGTCTATGCAGAATGGTGCTATGATACCTCAGCAAGTACCTGGAAACTAATATATTGATTAATTCCTTCTTGGGGTGATAGCAGTAGGAATGAGCTACAGTTGCCTTTAGAGGATGTGTTCCATTGCTGACCAGTGTGCTTTGAACAGTAGGTTCTTTTTAGCTGTGTCTCTCCCAACGTATGTTTTTATCTATTTTCTTGATATCCTTCTCTCCTTTTATTTTTCTATTTCTACCTTACGAGGCAAGTAAGGAGATCATCACAAGCTCCATGCCTGCAGGGAGACAAGGATGAGTTTAGTACTGTTATGATCATGATAAACAGTAATTCAGTGGCACTGCCAGGCTTTCAGAGGGGGAGAGATCTACAGGCAGAGATTACCATTTCTGTAATAAAAATGTCTGCATAAACCATCATACAATCCAGTATATAATCCTTCATTTTTTCCTCTCTAACAGTTTATTTCACTGCAGAAGAGTGCTTTTGGGTAGTTGTTCCCAGCATTTACAGAGTTTCCTGATGCCTCCCTGTAGGTATGTGACAGGACAATTCAATTGGCAAATCATGCTGGAGAGCAAGCATGGGGCAAGTGTCTGTGATGGAGAGGCACAAATTATCAGAGAGCCTGAATTCAGCAAGATGCCATTTTTCTCCTCTGGGCATTTCTCCTTGCACAGCTTGCTGTTTTTGTGGCCTAGTTTTAATGAGAGATTTTTGACAATAGTTGTGAATGTTGACATTTTCCTCTATTTTTTTTACTTTGGGTTTGAGCTGAGCACACACTGGAGTGAGGAAGCTCAAGGGTGTCATATTCAGTTCTATTGACAGCAGATATCATGTCCTAGAGTCTGATTTATAAATGCCCAAAGATGGTTCAACACTTATTTCCCCCATTATTTCTATTGAAAAGTAGCTTCTGCCTCATCCTTCTGGTCTTAGAAACATTGTAATTTCCAGTTCAAATTTGCTCATGGCCTTTTTATTCTTCTTTGGTTATTTCTAGACACTGATCTTGACTAGCTTTTTTTTCTTTCTTTCTTTCTTGGTGTTTGCTTTTTAGTTATTTTTGGATTACAGTGATGACCCTTCTTAGCCTCTGTTTGGTTAAGCTAAAAAAAAGCTGACTACTCTGGTCTCTCTGAGAGGAATGTGCCTTATTCTAATTATCCTACCAATCTTTGTCAGACTGGCTCTTTTTTACAACGAACACGTAGTGAAAATTGGTATGTGTATGCTGAAGAGGGGCCCCCACAACACCCTCTGTGTCCTGGCTGGTTCCCTCAGTTTCTGACTATTTTAAACGGCTTTGCTCATCATAAAAGTCACATGTGATTTTCAGTAAATACATGTTTTTTAAACCAAAATCCCAAACACCATTCACTGAATGCAAAAGGAAATTCTTGCCTGTGCAGATTAAGAAATGGTGTGTAATTCTTTGGTGAGTTTGAGGATAAAATTTTTGCGGGGACAGTACAGGTGCTGAAAGTATTTAAATAGTTTGATTGCCTTGCTGTGTGAGAAGCAGGACAGTTGTAGTGTCAGGTGGACATGGTAAGGTGATGCTACCTTCCCAAAAGTGCCTGCAGAGAGGACAGTATCTGGGCAGGACACAATCACGCTCACTCACAGACACGCCACGGACAGCTACACGTTGACAGAGAGGCAGGGAGGGTCTTTGTGTTGAGTTCCAGTGGGGTTTATTTCAACCACACACCGAAGGGGTCCTGGAACAAAGACAGGGAGCAATGGAGAGTCCAGGGATATCTATGGGCTGAAGGGGGTGGATCCAAGGGTCAGGGTTCAAAAGGAACAGGGTAAAGTGGTGCATAGGCGGGGTCAGGGAGAGGGAGAGCCAATGGGATCACAGGAGCGGAGGACTGCACCAAACTGGGGCCAATGGGGAAACGAGGAGAGGAGAACTTTCTAGGGAGAGGACACACAAGGTAAACAACAGGAGGGACAGCCAACAGGATAACTGGGTACTTAAACTGGTGTACAACAAAATGGAGGTACCATGGACTATGGGTGACATGGGCCAGAGATTTCCAGGGCTAGCTCTGGAATCTGACGGAAAATCTGATGGATTTTCTTTTTCTCTCTCTGGTATGGGCCAAGAGGGGCCTGAGCTAGGGCTGCTGTTTGAGCCCTGGTTCGGGTTTTGAGCTTTCACCCCCTCTTTGAACACGTGTCTGTTAATTCAGGTGAAGGAATGAAGGGGGGACTTTCTTCTGGTTTACAATTCACAGATTCATTCTGTAAGGAGAAATCCAGGAGAAAAGACAAAGGACGGGGGGTCTGACCATTTCCTTTTAAAGGGTTAATGCCTCAGGGGGTTGGGAATTGTAAGAACCAGTTAGAAGTTATAGCAGGTGGGCACACAAACTTTCTACGAATAAAATACCAACAGGTAAAGATAAGCGGTAACAGACATGGGAATTTTCTAATTAATTTCCAAGGATTAGGGGTTTTTTCATAGGCAGGATGGACCACAGGTTGGAGTCGCAGAGTGGGGAGAGGGGATTTCCCACTGAGGAGCCACCTGAGCCTCTGCCACTGGGACACAGTAAACCAGAAAAACATGGGCAAAAGTGGCAAAGACACTACACCAGAGTTGGGGCAACAAATAAGTGAATCTCCTGCACCAACTTCAGCAGGCAGCTGCTGCCCACTGGAGCCAGCGCCGCGATAACAAAGGAGCAAATCCCCCGCGGTGGCCACCTGCACCGTGGCTGGTACAAGGGAAAATGAGCAAACCTCAACGTAACGCCAGTTCCGGGGCCCCATGGGGACAGCTGTGGCCGCCCGCACCGGGGTTGGAGTGGGGCTGGCAGCAGCGTGGAGCTGGCAGGCCTAGCTGCTGCCGCGGGGGAGGGAGGGAGGGCGGTGAACCTGGTGAAAATCTCAGCCGCAGCAGCAGAAGCTCCAGGCCGCAAGTGACAGTGGGGCCCCAAAAGGGGAAAAATAAACACAAAAGCTTCTAACTTAGCTAGGAATTGAACTCCTACTGAAACATATCGGAAAAGCCTTTTCTTATAAACTTAAAATGGGGGAAAACCTTACACCTTGGAGGCTTCCTTCCACACCATAATCGCCTTTAGCTCTGGAGAATCCACAACTCCCCCTTCTTTATTTATTAAGAAAGCTTGTCCCATAGATTTTTGCAGAAATTTAACAAGAAAACATAGCCAAAACAATGAAAATAGTAACTAAAATCCACAAAATGCCTGCAACAAATGTTTGGGCCAAGCCTGTCAGTCCGATCTTTTTTAAAAGTTCTCGGGACCAGTCAGTCCCACTGTCTTTTCTCTTGTTCTGGCTTCCACCTTGATGTCCTTTACTTGTTCCTGGAGATTTTGGATGCTGCAGTGGAAGGATTGGCTTCTGGATGTGAGGTTAAAACAACACATCCCCTTGAACTCCTCGCAACCATGGCTATGGGCAAGCAGCAAAAAGTCTATGGCAGCCCTAGTTTGGAGGGTTGCGTGCCTGGTGGTCTCCTCATCCTCCCGAAGGGCACTGAGGGCTGTGGATGTTGCGCTGGCCTGTTTACAAAACCCGACACCCCTGCTGAGAAATCTCACCGAGAGTCTTCACCGTGACTACCCAAGGTAAAAATATGGATACCGTGATCTCTTTCCTTTATTCCAATAATAAATTTGGCTATCACAATTTTAGTCAAATTGCTCATACAATCTCTTTTGGCAGGCCAATTGAGTTTTTACTTTCCAATCCTGCAAGAGTGTAATGTTTGGGGTGAGGGTAGTAAGTTGGCCAAGGCAACAGGGATCCCCTTGAAGGCGAGAGGGGATTCCTGCCCAAGCCCTGTCCCTGCAGATAAGAAACACACCCTGGGGGAGTACTCTGGGATGAGAAGTGGATGAGGATGCTGTTCCATTGGTGTAACTGCACCAGTCATGTGAATAAATTTTCCTAATTGGGGCCACATTGTTCCTGTGAAAGGAATGAATGTGGTCATATAGTGGGGACAGGCTGATGTAGTTGCCTGTATTGAAACCAAATACAGAATTTGGCTGTGGAGGACCCAAATTCTTGGGGCTCCTCTTGTGAATGCAGCAGCAGCCTCATCCCAGGTATCCACTAGATTCGGTTCTTTACCAGCATAGGGACAGTGCCTTTCTGTCAGGGGAATTCCCACTGGACACGATGATAAGGGGTTGCCAAACTCACCTGTGACAATGCATAAATTGTCTTGGTTGAGAGTCTTGGTGAAGGTCACCCAGATGTTTTTGTGGGGTTGAGGAACAGTCCACCCTGTGATGGTCAGCAGGAGCTGTAGCATCCAGATCTTCCTCATATTGTTTCTGGGAACAGCAAAATGCAGGGTCAAAATGAACATATAAACCCAAGAAGTAATTAACGAAAGACGTTAAAACACAAATCCTTAACTTAATGGACTCACTTTCCCTCTACTTCCCCTTTTCTTTATTAAAATCGGAATAATAAGGAGAAAGTAGTGTGAGAAAGGGAAAGGGTGGCAACATAAAAGTTGTTTTAAAAGTCCAAGAAAGAAAGGAATTAACAATATAAGAACTTAAAGCATGTCCTTGTAAGAGGGATAGATATAACTTTTCCATTGAAATCCAATTCAGAAAAGTATGATAAAACTGTGATAAAAGTATCCCTGTTGTCTGTAGCTGGGCTATCTGTCAGAGGAGGTGTGCTCATCTGCTTTTTCTTTCTGCACCTCCAGGCTGCATGGGTGTTGTAATAAAGAATTGGGTAAATAAAAATTCGGAATAAGAAGTTTAAATAAAGTATGTATAATTATAACTAAATGAAAGTATGGAATAAGGAATTCTCCTCCCGGTCGAGGTAGAATTCCTTTTCCAAAAATCACGAATTGCAAAAGAACCCCCCCAGATAACAGGTTTCAGCAGACTCATCAACTCGGAGGAAAGGACAGGACACAGGCCATCATAGAAACAAAAGAACCAGCCTAAAAGTCTACCTCCAGAGAAAGGCAACGCCCGGCCGATTTCGGCCGGAGACCATCAAGCAAGACAAAAGGGACGAGCCTCAGGAAAATGGTCGTTGCCAGAATCGAACACCACACCCGACAAACCCATACTACAGAAACTCAATCAAGAAAGACAAAGAAGAGACTACTCCTCTGAGATATCCATCGGCACTAGCCCGGATCTCTCAATCCCGCTGTGATGAAATATGTTAAAATACATACAGACTCACTTTGCATTTGAGGAGACTCTGCCCGGATACTTACTGACTCAATGTTCTAGGCCAGGAAATCCATTCACCAGACAATCAGGGACATTTGGTGAATGGAAACTGGTTGGAATTCTAGCCTGGGGACATAAAATCCCTATAAAAACCCAGGCCAGAGAACCCTCAGACGTGGATTTGGGAACACCTATACCTTGCGTATAGACCCTGTCCACCCAGCGCTGCGCTGTCCATTTATTGTGGTTTTTTCCTCGCTGTTTGTTGCTTTATTAATTTATAATAAATTAATCTTTGTTAATCTTTAATCTGCCGTTGCATTTATAACAGGTGTCATCTTGTGTATTTTCTTGGTGTATTTTATTGACTTCTTCTGAATCTCTTTCAGGTGCTGCGTCTCGCTCTTGTATGTAGGGCTTGATATTCTTTTCCAGTATCCACTTTGGACCCGAACCTGTTGAGACACAGGCATACCCTCCCCACCACGTTATTAAGGGAAATGGACCCATAATTTCCTTACTTCCTGGATCCTTGACCAGCACCAGTGGTCTTTCCTTTATTTGTGCCCTGGTGTTATTGGCAAAATGCTGGACAATGGGGGGTGCCAGCTCCATAAAGGAGTTATTGAGAAATAACTCAGTGGAGTAGGACTTATTGAGAAAGCTGAAAATGTAGGTGGCTTTGGCAAGTCTCTCAATGTTGCTGAGAGACTCAACACCCCCCCCACCCCGTCACTGCTGGTCTGTTTTAAAGATCTGTGGGCCCATTCCACAATGGATTGTCCAGTTGGAGAGTGAGGGATGCCTGTGTTGTAACTTATGCCCCACTATTGGAGAAATTGGTGGAATTTTTGTGAGGTGTAAGCAGGTCCATTATCAGTTTTTATTTGTTTGGGGACACCCAGGGTGGCAAAATCTAGGAGAAAATGTCTTATAATGTCCCTCACCTTCTCCCCTGCATGACCAGAAGCAAAAATGGCACCTGAGAAGGTGTCTATGAACACGTATATGTATTTCAGTCGTCCAAAAGAAGGATAGTGTGTTACATCTGTTTGCCATAATTGTAATGATTCCAGTCTTCAGGGGTTAACCCCGATGTCTAAGGATGGTAAGGCATATTTTTGGCAATTAGGGCAGGGCACTACTATTGCTCTCACCTGTCCTCAGGACCTTTTGAACATTTGCACTAGTGAGGGCGTGTTCTGGTAGTAGAACTCATGAGATATTTTGGCCTGTTGAAAGGTGTTTGGTAATGTGGTCTGTGCTACCATTAACAGAGCATCTGTTCTCCAGTTACCTTCAATGATGGGTCCTGGAAGGTCAGTGTGTGTCCTGACATGCATTATATGGTACGGCTGTTCTCAGTGGAAGAGAAGGTAGACAAGTTTTGAGAGCAGTTCATACAGTTTAGGATTTGACACCTCTTTGAGAAAATAATGTTTACCCTTTTCAGCTACACCAGCTACGTATGCTGAATCAGTGACCAAATTGAGAGGCTCTGGGAACCTCGAGAATGCTCTGACTACAGCTGCTAATTCTGCAATTTGGGGGGATACCTGCACAATTTCGACATCAGACTCCCACTTCTTTGTCACTGGATCTTTCCAAGTCATAACTGACTTGTGGGATCTCCCAGAGCCATTGGCAAAAACTGTCATAGCCTTGAGTGGAGTAGGACTTTTCAGCCATTTGGGGACCAAATTGAAAGCGGAATTGAAAAGCTTATGTTTGGGATTGTGAATTGAAATTTGCCCTGGGTAGCTGTCAAGGGCAAACTGCAGGTGTTCATTTGTTTGGAGCAAAGCTTCCAAACAATTAGATGTCAATTGTATATAAAGTGGTGCAAGGTGGGTCAGGGAGAGGGAAAGCCAACGGGATCACAGGGGCAGAGGATTGCACCAAACTGGGGCCAATGGGGAAACAGGGAGAGGAGAACTTTCTAGGGAAGGGACACACAAGGTAAACAACAGGAGGGACAGCCAACAGGCTAACTGGGTACTTAAACTGGTGTACAACAAAATGGAGGTGCAATAGACTGTGGGAAAAGTATTTTCTTATAAAGTTAAAATGGGGGAGAACCTTTGTCTTGGTTTTTAGAAGACAGGTGTCTGCTAGGGAGGGTAGGAGACACTCTTGGAATGAAAAAATGTAGACCCCCCCTCCCTCAAAATTATTATAATTCTGAAATCAAGGGGCTCTCAGGCAGAGATCTGGGATTAGGAATAACAGTTCTTTACTAGTATTTATAGCAGTATAAATATAACTACAGCGTTAGCAACAAAACAGAACCAGGGACCCCGTGGCAGCTTTCTCGGCTGAGATGGGAAGGGATGGAGGAGAGGCTTTGCTTCACAAACCCCTCGGGCAGTCAGTGCCGGTGCTCCTGCAGGGCTCTGAGGAACACTCAGCTGGAACAGCAGGGATGAGCTGAGATCCTGGGCCGGTGGCTGAGGTGGATCAGCAGCTCCGTGGCGGTGCCTGGCACTGCCACACGTCCCGGGCAGGACCGGGGGTGCGAGGCCACCAACAAAGAGGGGAGAAGGAGAAGCAGCAGCAGCTCCGTCTGGGTGATGGCGAAATTCCCTTCTCCCCACTGCAA